TTAAAGGTTTCCCCTTGACATTAAGTCTACTTGAGTCCGACTCTGAGGGGTGGAGGTCATCTCCATTTCTAAGCCGAAAAGCCAGCATTGTCCGTAGACACCTCTTAGGTCATGAGGCCAGCATGACTGCATGGGGCGCCATTACCTTCCTGCTGGAGCCGTACCTATTGATCTACTCACATTTGCATGTTTTTGAACTGCTATGTTAGCAGAAGCTGGGCCTAACAGCAGGAGCTGACCTCGCTTCCCAGATTTGAACGTCCAACCTTTCAATCAGCAAATTCTGCAACTCAGTGGTTTAACTTGCTGCACTATCATGGTCCCGTCCTGAACCCTGTAAAAAGGTAAAGGTTTCCCCTGACATTAAATCTAGTCATTCCCAACTCTGGGAGGTGGTGCTCATCTCTATTTCTAAGCCAAAGAATCGGCGTTGTCCATAGACACCTCCTAGGTCATACGGCCAGCATGACTGCATGGAGCGCCATTACCTTCTCGCAGAAGGGGTACCTATTGATCTACTCGCATTTGCCTGTTTTTGAACTGCTAGGTTGGTAGAAGCTGGGCCTAACAGCGGGAGCTCACCCCACTCCCCAGATTTGAACCGCTAACCTTTCGGTCAGCAAGTTCAGCACCTCAGCAGTTTAACATGCTGCGCCACCAGGGAGCCTTGTAGGTCAGGCTTAAACCTTGACTTTCATAACTTCTCAAGGAAAAATTCAATTTCCTATTTCCATTGCTATGAGGTTGCCTTGGAGATGGGTGTGAGGGGTATAATGGTGCTGAAGTACGCGGGTCTGGACGACACTGACAGCGAGGAGGAGCTGCACCCCGGCTGGGAGGAGAGGACCACCAAGGACAGCTGGGTCTACTACACCAACCTTGAATAAATGAGACCCCAAGGGCCATCCAGTCCAGTCTTCTACCACGCAGGAATACATAATCAAAGCACTCCTAACAGATGGCCGTCCAGCCTGTTTTTAAAAAAATCCAGAAAACGAGACTTCACCAGACTCTGAGGCAATGAGTCCCACTGTTGAACAGCTCTTACAGTCAGGAAGTTTTTCCTAATGTGGAAAATCTCTTTCCCTGTAATGTGAACCCATTATTTGATGTCCTGGTCTCTAAAGATGTCCGGGGGACAGTTCCACCTTGTCTCCTGTTCTATTCTAATAATATAATATAATATAATGTAATATAATATAATATATATATTTATAATATAATGTAATGCAATATAATACTATTAATAATATGATATTTATATTAAATGTAATATTACTAATAATATTACAATATAATGGTGTAGTACAATAAAGTAATATTTAATACTATGCAAATAATATAATATATTGTATATATATATATACCTTGTAAGCTGCTCTAAGTCCCCTTTGGGGTGAGAAGGGCAGCATATAAATGTCGCAAATAATAAATAAATAAATAAATGTGTCATTCATTTATAATTGCACTGGCTTTTTGCAAAGCTTGAGTTTTCACAACAATCTTGTGAAGTAAAAAAAACCAAACCAAATGTATGGGGAAGCAGTATATGGCTGCTTACAATGTCAGTGGCAATGAGTCAGTTGCTGAACCACAGTAGTGGATCATACCACTTTCTAAGAAAGCACTCTGAAGTTGTCAATATCAAAAAGCAACAAAATGAGGGCCCTGAAAGCAATTAGTTGCAACTGGAGGAAAAGGTCCTTTTGGCAGGACACCTTCGCTGCAATTATTTCTTCTCGGCTTAGACATTTACAAGCAATTGTGAAGCTATCTGCTGCCCTCATCGGGCACTTCCAGGCATCGGATGTCTTTCTGAGGATCTTTTGGATTATAAGTAAATCAGTCCAATTCTATCACTACACAGGAACACATTTGGAAAAACATTGCTGCCAAATATCCGGTAGCTGGGTACAACGGGTGAGACTCGGGTCACATTAATGCTACCAGAACAATTTCCTGGATATATTTTTAGATCTTTTTCTTGAAGAATAACACATACCCATTTACAAAAATCAATTTGTCAAGACCAATAGCTTGCGATTTCTTCACTCTGCTTTCACCCAGTCAAGTTCCTACAGATTGTGTTTAATTGAGGATACTAGGATTATCTTGGCGATTGCTGTTTAATTGAAGGAAAACGGGGTTATCTTGTTGGAAGCTGATCTAAATACCCATATTCCGCAAGACAAAGAGAACACAACATGCCATATTCCTTAAATGAAAACCGATTAGCTAAATATTAAACAATTTCCTACAAAGTGCAAAGATGTCATTGCCACACAACTACTTGATAGCTGCATGGAAATAGGTACTCTTGTGCATTTGTGGATGAATAAATAGTCTGGTGATCTATATCTAGCAATTCGAAAGCATGCAAATGTGAGTAGATCAATAGGTACCACTTAGGCGGAAAGGTAACAATGCTCCATGCAGTCAGGCTGGCCTCATGACCTTGGAGTTATCTATGGACAATGCCAGCTCTTCGGCTTAGAAATGAAGATGAGCACCACCCCAGAGTCGGACACGAGTGGACTTAATGTCAAGAGGAAACCTTTACCTTTATATACATTTTGGAATAAGGTGCTTCATGTACAATCTTATGAATTTGCCCATTCATAATAGAAAGTGGCTTTTAATGTTACTTATTTTCTCCTGTATGTGATAGCAAATTTATTTATTTATTTGCCATATTTATATACCGCCTTTCTCAGTCCAAAGACGACCCAAGGCAGTTTACATTCAACACAATTGTGAAATGTTAAGAGGGAGGGGGCAGATCTAAAATCCCTAGGAAGGGTGTTCCACAGCCGAGGGTCCACCACTGAGAAGGCCCGGTCTCTCGTTCCCACCAAACGCATCTGAGACGGAGGCAGGACCGAGAACAGGGCCTCCCCAAACAATCTTAAAGTTCTAGATGATTCATAAGGGGAGATTCGTTCAAACAGGTATTCCATAAATCTTTTTACACTTTAAAAAACCATTTTGTTACAGGCAGGGATGTGATTTGGGTTCTCTTTTGTCAAATTTAAGTCCCTGACGCTTGGATAGTAAAGCAATTAGCAAGTATGAAAATGATAAAGCTTTATGAATTATAAAATGTATGTGTGATGCTAAAATCATAGGCTAGTTCCAACCTAGCACAAACCAAGTGTTAAGCTTGAAAAAGATACATAACCAGTGAATTGCCTTATAACAAACCTGACTACAGGTTTAGAGGTATGTCATTAGAGGGTGACTAGCTGATGCAGTCAGATGGCTGATGCAATCTAATGCAAGGCAGCCAGAAACTGGTAGTTCTTCAAATGTTAAATCAACATTGCTTACTTAAGTGAAGGCTAGTAGAAATGTAATTATATTGGATGATTGAAAACTGGAGAAGATATGGAATTGACCCAAAAGAGACAGACATCAGATTGACCTGAAGGCAAGGCTCTGCCTTATGAAGTCAGTTGTTTCCTTATAGTTTCGCTGTTCCTTTCTGATAAAAGAGCCAGACAATGTTGACAAGACATAGCAGTCCTTATCATACCTGTTATGGATATTATATATAACTAGTTGTACTCGCCACGTATTGCTGTGACCAACCTTCCCTCCTTCTCTTCTTTCTTTCTTTCTTTCTTTCTTTCTTTCTTTCTTTCTTTCTTTCTTTCTCTACCTTCCTTCTCTTTTTCTTCCCTTCCTTCCCCCCCCCCCCACCTTTTCTTTCCCTTCCTTTCTCCCCTTTCTTCCTTCTCTACCTATTCTTGGACTGCAACTCACAGCACTCCTCCTGATTGATCTACCTACCTACCTACCTACCTACCTACCTATCTATCTGGAGGACTGCTGGGAGTTGCAGTCTAGGAATTGGAAATTGGAAATATGCAGGGATTGGGATGCTCTCAAAGAAATCCAAGGAGAAGAAAGCTTGCGTCTTGGAAGAACTGCATTTGGATCATCCTCCTCCTCTCCTAAAGAGCCTAATCTAGGAGATGCAGGGAGCTGTAGTCTGGAAGAGTGGGTGAATATACTATTGTGTGTTTTCTTTGCTGAGGGAGTCATTTTTCCACATGTGCTGCAGCATCTTTTTGCTTTTTGGCTTTTTAAGTCCCTTCTGCTATGTTTTTCAGTGTATTTATGAGTGACGGTCACTTGTTGGACAGATAGGTGTATTGTGTCCAAATTTGGTGTCAATTCGTCCAGTGCTTTTTGATTAATGTTCATCCCACAAACGAACATTATATTTTTATTTATATAGATGGATGAGATATATAATGAATGCTGTCAGGACAGCCAGTGTGATGTAGTGGTTTGAATATTGAACTAAAACACTGGGAGACCAGAGTTCAAATCCTGTTCAGCCATGGAAACCTACTGGGTGACCTTGAGTGAGCCACACTCTTTCAGCCTTAGAGGGAGGCATGGGAAAGAGGGAGAACGTCTCCTCCTATAAACTGTCACAGAGGTTAAGATCTTCCAGGGAGGTCCCGCTCTCTGTCCTGTCTCCTTCACAGGCACGGTTGGTGGGGATGAGAGACAGGGCCTTCTCAGTGGTGGTCCCTCGGCTATGGAACTCCCTTCCCAGGGAAATCATTTTAATTTATTGTTTTATACGGTATCAAATTGCTGCCAACCTGTAAACTGCTCTGAGTCCCCTTCGGGATGAGAAGGGCAGGATATAAATGTGGTAAATAAAACCTTATGATAAAATTGTTTCAAATAGAAGAAATAAAACACAAGTGAAATTATTTGGGGCTCCAGTCAGGAATTACTCATAAATTAGGGTAAAATAAAGATAATGGTGTGTGTGTGGGGGGGGGGGGGGATGCAGATGAAACACTATTTAACGAAGGAAAATACACCTCTAAATATTCAATGTACATTTTTTTTACACTGCAGCTTTTTATTTGATAATTGAAACCTCCCCACAGCCCTGAATAGTACCATTCTTACTAACCAACATTGCTATAGTAATTATAAAACTATGAAGATCTGTAAAAAAAATAGCTGCAAACATATTCATTTGCTGAGATTGTTTTATTTTGGTGGAATCATGTCCAAAAAAAGGTTACAGAAATTTCAAACAAATGTAGACAGTGGCTGCTGTACTTTTGTGTATATTCTATTGCCGTGCTTGGGGGAAAAAATAGGAATGACTGAATCACAGAAGTCATTTTTAATGCTGAAATTATTGCTTTCCAGCTCAGCAGTATCTGTAACGATCAGCTACTTCTCTGTGTTTCATTCTCATAGAAAAAAGGAAGACTCCCCAAGATGAGAAACCCCAACATCCTTCAGTGGAATTAATTCAGACCACTTTCTAATCACATTATCTCTTCCGAAATGTCTAGGTGAAATGTAGTGCAATTCATTGCGGAGGTAATTCTTAAATAAAAATTTAGCAGAACCTATAAGTTGGCATTTAACAATCCAATTCCTTGGCACTCAATAATGTAGGCATCCTTGGACGAACCATCATCTTCTGACTTTGACACCGTAAATTTAGCCTGCAAATTTAAAAAGTAATAAAAATATTTTATTTCAGTTCATCCAAACAGAACTCAGAGCATGGTATAAACCCTAAAGTAACAAATAAAGCACCACTATAAAAACAATACTACTTGAGAAGCAGTAAACCATTAAACTTTATAATCAGGAGAAGCAATACAAGCACTTAAAATGCTCAAGCAAATCAAAACATCATGACTTAGCGTCAAAATGATTGTGATGTCAGTTCCATCACTTGACTGCCCCTATCAAAGTTGGGGAGGCACCACAATCCACATCTCCTAATGATAGTGCCCTGAAATAGTTTTATTATTATTTGAAAAAACCCTCCCCACTTAGAATAAAATTATATATGTATTGTCAAAGGCTTTCATGGCTGGAATCACTATACAGAGAAGCCATTGAAATTCATAAGCTTGTGGACAATTTCAACAGAAAGGAGGAAACCATGAAAATGAACAAAATCTGGCTACCACTATTAAAAAAAACTCTAAAATTATAACAGTAAAACAACACTCAAACACAGGGAAACTCCAGAGAGGAAACAATCAGGGACAGATAATCACCTCTCAACAAAAACACCTCCCCCAGGCAGTAACAAGCCACACTAAAAAACTGCCAGGCCATCAAATGCTAATCAAGGTGGCCAGTTGAAACATTCACACCTGGCTCTAACAGACAAGAGTTCTTTCTCCCACCCTGGACATACCACAGATATAAAAACCCAATTTTCCTAGTTTCCAACAGACTTCTCAACCTCTGAGGATGCTTGCCACAAATGCAGGTGAAACATCAGGAACAAATGCTTCTAGAACATGGCCATATAGCCCAAAAAACCTACAACCCAAATTATATATGGTTTACAACAAAGCAGTGTACAAGATATCAAATATGAAATCAGACTCCGAGAACTGGGCATTGCCAGTCTGGTTGGCTTCCATACATGCAATAGAGAAGTAAGATATAATAGTGTTACATTCTTTACCAGTACAGTATAACCACCATATCCACAAGGTAAATACCCTCAGTTTCATTTATCCACACCTGACAAAATAGGAACTTTCTAGGCATTTTCTAGGTCTCCCCAGCATGACTCTGTGGTATTATTGAGTCAGAAGTCCATAATTTCAATTACGTTTGCTATTATCCACAGTTTTGCATATTCATGTGAAGTCCAGGAATGTATCCCCGACGGACATGGTTGACTGTATCTTGGTCTTACTTTGAGCCAGCCCAAGTTTTGCTACAAACATACAAAAGCAGAACTTGGCAGATGTGCTGATCTTATGCACTCACCTTGGTCAGCTGCTCTGCAAAATGGATAGCAGTTTCTGTATGGAGAGTAATCGGTCCTGTTTTCACTCGAGAGATCCCATCTGCCAAAGCCATGAAAATGATCAACTTGGAAGGAAAGGAAACAAAACAATCACGATTAAGCGTTGTAGTGATCAAACAGGACATCATGGTGTTTAATGACATCAGGATGAACCTAGTCAAAGCAGGGATCCGTAACTACATGCCTCCTCTAGCATCTTTTTACATTTACATTTATTTATTTGTATTGATAACATTCAATTACCATGAAGCAGGACAGAGGGTGACCAATTCAGGTAAATCAATTAAAGCTGCAACAATGAACAAGGTTGTCCTGTAAAGTGTATGAA